AGATGGGATTTTTATGGATGACAATGCGCCAGGTCACCGGGCCACAACTGTTCGCGATTGGTTTGAAGAACATTCTGGACAATTCCAACGAATGATCTGGCCACCTAGATCGCCCGACATGAATCCCATCGAGCATTTATGGGACATCATCGAGAGTTCTGTTCGTGCCCAAAATCCTGCACCATCAACGCTTTCACAATTATGGACGTCTATCGAGACAGCATGGCTCAATATTCCTGCAGAAGACTTCCAACGAATTGTTGAGTCCATGCCACGTCGAGTTGCTGCACTTCGCCGGGCGAAATGATGGCCGACACGATATTAAGAGGTATCCCATGACTTTTGTCACTTCAGTGTATTACGTATATAAATTATTTTGTAAACAAAATGAACCTTTTAACTCATCTTTAAAGGAATAAATTATATTTATAAGTTAAAAGTGCATAAGTTAAAAAATTTTGCGGTGCCATACACTGATTAAAGGTCAATTTAAAAAAGAGAACATCAATATATTTAGATCATATCAGTAGGATTAAGAAATCAAAACTTGAAATGAAGAAAAAAGATGGAACGTCGAAATTGAGAAGTTGGAAGATATTGACAAAAACTTCATTGCAGTGCCTCAATAAGGTGATCCAATAAGGTGATCCTCAATAAGGTGATCCTCAATAAGGTGATCCTCCAACTCTGTAAAATATTCAAATCTCTGTCATAAAATTTAATATAATTTACATTTAATTAAAATTATTAACATGTGGAATCTTGTTTACACTGTTGGTATTTTATCAAAAGGAAAGAAAAAAATAGAGATAATTCAATACATTTAAGCATTTCAAGAATTTAAGATAAAGTTTTAAATTTTTATTTTAAGTATTTATTTAATTTTATTATTATTATTATTATTATTATTATTTTATTTTTTTTTGAAATTTATAAAAGTTAAGGTTCCTCCGAGATTTGAACTCGGATCGCTGGATTCAAAGTCCAGAGTGCTAACCATTACACCATGGAACCACAAGCTGCTTGTCATTATTCTTATTTATCAAACGAAGCAGTAATGATATACAAATGAAACCTGAATAAACATACGGAATCTGATTCCAGATTAGAGGGAATATTCTGTTGACATGTCATTGTTTAAAAGACAAATAGGTTTCTTATTGTTACAAATGCAAGGGAAAACAGTAATTTATTTAATTTTCATATCAGCTATGACATTTCTTGTTACAAAAATTATCATATTTTGTAGCCAACGCCTTGGCAGGATTTTTCTATTAAGTCCTTTTCCGGAAAATATTTATTCTAATTGAATTAGATATATATTAGTTAGATCAATTTTGTAATCTTTATTTCATGAAATATCATTTGAATAGTTTCTCATTTGGTGATTTATAAGCTTTTAATTAAATGAATCTTAAAATAAAAACATTTTACTAAATTTCAATTTACTATTTCACAATACTGTTTTTAAAGTAATAATTTTCTTTTTTTGAAAATATAAAATATTTTTAAAATATGATGAAAAGTTATTAGAATGAATTAATTTTTTTTTATTCTAATAAATTTTCATCATATACCATTCATTGAATTGAAAATTGAACATTGAACATTGAACCCACCGATTTAAAAACGAGACGACTCGATGGCATTTGTGATGTCCCGCATCTTGCCACGTGAGTCGGAGTACCTGGTGAGAGTTTTCCGGGTTTTCGCCCATACGATACGCAAATGTAAGGTGTTCCCCATAAAAGTCCTCCCGGCAGGCACTGCTCTGCTTCAGCGACTCGGAGCCAAATCAGACTTTTACTTACGAGTGCTTCATCATAACAGAAACTGACCTCCATCCACGAGTAGACTACTCATGGGGTGTGCATCCCATGAGATAGCAGGTGGTCTGATACATAGATGGCTCTACTAGTATTAAATCCATATGATTTTTAGTTAGCCCTAACCTTCAAAAGACACATGTATAAATTTGACAGCTGTTGCACTATTAGTATGTGAGTTATAGCATTTTTAGTGAAGCAACTTTTGTTAGTTTGAAAAAATGGATAAAAAGGAATTTCGTGTGTTAATAAAGCATTGCCATTTTGGCGAAAAAAAACACTATTGAAGCCAAGGCTTGGCTTGATAAACATTATTCGGACTTTGCACCGAGGACGATGCACGCCCCAAAGAGGCTGTCACCGACGAAAACATCAAAAAAGTCCACAAAAAAAATTTCTGATAACCGTAAAGTGAAGTTGATTGAGATAGCTGAGACCCTAAAGATATCAAAGGAACGTGTTTGTGAATGAATATTTGGATATGCAAAAGCTCTGTTCAAAGTGGGTGCCGCGCGAGCTCACAATCGACCCAAAACAACAACGAATTGATGATTCTAAGCAGTGTTTGATGCTGTTCAATCGTAGTATACCCGAATTTTTGCGTCGATATGGGACAATGGATGAAACATGGCTCCATCATTTCACACTGGAGTCCAATCGACAGTCAGCCGAGTGGACTACACGTAATGAACACTAAAAATGTTAAAACTTCACTAAAAATGCTATAACTCACATACTGATAGTGCAACAGCTTTCAAATTTATACACGTGTCTTTTGAAGGTTAGGGCTAACTAAAACGCATATGGATTTAATACTAGTAGCGCCATCTACGTGTCAGCCTACGAACTATTCAGCCCACGTGTTATTAATCACTGCCGGACACAGGTTATTATACATAGACATAAGCAGCTTCACTAAGGCCAAGTGATAGAAAAACTAGCTAGCATGCAAAAGTTAAAACGTTCAAATAAAAATAAAGTTCGAACGTTCGAAAAAAAGTGAGAACACAGTAAACGTAGAAATGTTTGTAGAAGAGTGTACAGCATAAACAATCTTGCTTGAGTTTTCCGAGTAGTCACAACAACAGCAACTGTGTCAAAGAAACAAAAAACAACAACATCAAACAACATCAATAATTTTTTCATTAGTATTAAAGAATAGGAATACATCAAAAGTTATCCCTAAAATTTTTGTTATGCTGTGCGTGAGGGAAAAAGAAATTATTAGGGAGTTTTTGCATACCGTAAGTTAGTTACCGTAAGACGTCCGTTAGCATTTTTCTCCCTAGCGCGCATGCTCATAGGAAACTGACCATGCGCGCTAGGGAGAAAAAAGCTAATGGACGTCCTACGGTAACTAACTTACGGTATGCAAAAACTCCCTATTATCTTCTATCTATCTATTAGAATTTTTATATCTAATAGAATAGAAATCTAATTTCTAAATAATTATATTAAATCTAATAATTTAATTAACGAAAATCAGATGATCTAAAATAATAGTATTGATTAATAAATTAATATTATATTTCATCTATTGCCTATAAGAAAATAAATGCAGTACAAAAAGTTGTTAATATTTGATACTGAACATCAAACATTACTTTTTTATTTAGTATTTTTAGACGTCCGCTAAGAGTAATAATTTTAATGGACAGTCTTATAGTATTTTTTTTTCTTTAGTTTAATGTTTTTTGTCATTTTTTCTTCTCTCAAATTTTGTTTTTTATTATTTTATTTACTTCTTTTTAACTCTTATTTTTTTATTATTATTTTCAATCCATCGTTATGCCTCCGACGTATTATTGCATCTTTGTAAAAATTTTCTGAATATAAGTCTTTTATGTGGTGCACGAGAAGATTTCATGTCGTTGTATGAAAAGAAATAAAGAAAATAAGTTATTATCTTCTATTTTCTTTTTCTTTTTTTGCAAAGTATTTTTAAAAAATTATTTTTATTTTCTTCATAAAACATATTCTTCATAAACTTCATAAACATTCTTGTTTAAAAGTATTTTTTTATAATTGCTAGTATTTTTGGATTAAAAATGGTTCATTTCAGACATTTTATTTATTGTCTGTTTAATTAATATCGTTGCTTCCTTAAATTTTATAATTTTACGAGTTAAATTGCCTTGTGAAATTAATTTATTAAATTTATGCTAAAAATTGAAATAGTTTTAAACAGCACTACTCAAATTATATCATTGGTTGAATAAAATAGTAATATTTTTTATTAGAAAATGTTTTTCTTCTGAACTAAAGCACTGGTTTTACATACAATTTTAATACATTTTAAATTAATTGTAGTAACATTCATTAAATTTAAAAAATATTTTATATTTTTTAAAGAAAATTTTGAAGATCAAAAAAATGAGCAAAAATTATTATTTTAAAAACAATATTAAAAGTAGTAAATTGAATTTCAAGAAAATGGTATTAATTTATATAATTAAAAGATTATAAATTGTCATATTCAAATAATATTAAGCTATTCAATATACATCAATGAGTTATTCAAATAATATTAAGCCATTCAATATATATCAATAAGCTATTCAAATAATATTAAGCCATTCAAAATATATCAATAATCTATTCAAATAATATTGCATAAAATAAAGATTACAGAGTATATCAATCTATTATAAACCTATTTAAATCAGAATAACTATTTTTTCTTAAATGGACTTCAAGGCGTTGGCTACAATATATGATAATTTTTGTTACAAAAGAATGTCATGGCTCATTTGAAAATAAAGTTAAAAAGCAACATTTTCACCTGCATTTGTAACAAAAAAAATATTTTTATTTTAAACAATGACATTCTAACAGACGATTCACTCTAATCTGGAATCAGATTCCGTATCATGTTTATTCAGGTTTCATTTGCATATCATTACTGATTCATTTGATAAACGTAAATAAGGAAAGTCTGCATGTGGTTCCATGGTGTAACGGTTAGCACTCTGGACTTTGAATCCAGCGATCCGAGTTCAAATCTCGGTGGAACCTTAATTTTTTTTGTTTTTTTTCTTTACTAAGGACTTTTATTCCCCAACGTGAATGGTAGTGAGATATTCTATTACGTAGTCCGTTGGTTATTGTGAGTTTTGTTTAAGAAGCATGCATTTATTCCGCAGAAAATGAAATTTTTTAAGACAAAATAGACGTGGTTCCATGGTGTAATGATTAGTACTCTGGATTTTGAATCCAGCGTTCGGAGTTCAAATAGCGGTGGAACCTTAAGTTTTCTTTTTCTTTTCTAAGGATTTTTATTCTCCAATGTGAATGGTAGCCAGATATTCTATTCCGTAGTCCGTTGGTTATTGTGAGTTTTGTTTAAGAAGCATGTATTTATTCCGCAGAAAATGAAATTATTTTAGGACAAATAGACGTGGTTCCATGGTGTAACGGTTAGCACTCTGGACTTTGAATCCAGCGATCCGAGTTCAAATCTCGGTGGAACCTTTCTTTTTATGAATTTCAAAAAATAAATATATACAAATAAATTAACAATTTAAAAATTTATTTTATATTCAGAAATTCTAGAAATGTATAAGACTACCTCTATTTTTTTTCTTTACTCTTTGATAAAATTCCAAAAAAGCAAAAATTCCACGTGTTATTATTTTTAAAAATTATGTTGAAAATTTATAGCAGATTTTAACGTTTTACATCGTAATACTAATTTGATAAATAAAACAGTATGCGAATATATTTTGCTGTTTACAATTTTATATCGTTGATATAAGCAGGTTTAGTAAGAAATAATTATATAACCTAGAATTGCATGGTAAATTTCTATTTACCTTGAACTTAAATTTAATATGCGATACATTTTACGTAATAAATGGTGATTATCATGCTACATCAATTATGAATAACAAAACTTTATATTTTTCGGATTTACCTCTTTAAGGTAAAACATTTAAAAATTACTGGTTTAAAATTTTAGTATTGGTTGTAATTAGTTATAACATTTGCTAAAAATTGTTATTGATAGTAAAAATTTAATGTAGAATGCTAAAACAAAAAACGGCTTACTTTAGTAATAAGAAAAATAAATATGAATTAATGAAAATATTCTTTTAAGAAACTAAAATCCTATTATTTATAAAATATTTCAATAATCAATAATAATAGATGTTAACATTATCACGATTTTAATAAATATTAAAATCGCAATTAAAAATCTTGATTACTATACTAATAATTAAATAATTATTTTTAATATCATAATTTAAATAAAAAATAACTAGTTTACCAGATCAACAGTTAGATATTTGATTTTATATCTCAAAACAAATAATCTGAACACATATGCCCCAATAAAATGTAACGACATTAGCAAAAAATACAACGGTATTATTGCTTTTTTCAATTACCATAACTTCCTGTCTGTAATCCACAATGCCGTAAACATCACAGGCGTCATGTTCAGACCGTATAAATAAATAGAAAGCATACTATAATCTGCACCTGCTTTTTTGCATATAATTATACCAATCAAGTTTTATTTTTATATCGATAGCTTAAAACTTACAAAATATTTATCAGCTTTAAAGAGCGTTTTTGTGGTCGTTACTACATTAAAGAATTATATTATAAATTTAAGAAGTGGAAACCAGGAAGAAAATATTCACTTAAAAGTTGTGAAAACAAATATGACATTTTTACGACGATTTACACTTAAATTTGCTAGAAAGATAAAAATATTCATTTGCTTTGTGACAAAAAAAAAACTTGTACTATATTAAATTATTAGTTTATTAAAAATAAAAAAATATCATAACATCAAAGTAAATTTTTGTAATTTCGTTTATTAATCATTGTTCTGACGCGTATAATTGCTGTTGTAAGAATTGTTGTAAAGGTAAACCAGCATTACACAGAACCACTGCTGAGTACTATAGCTGCAGATGTAATGAAAATTCCATTTATTTTTACTATTTTAATTTCAACATAAAAAAATTACTTAAATTGTATTCAAAGCACCTTGGAAATTGGGGTAAAAATAAGATTTCACCGAGATTTGAAATTAGTTTAGAAAATTTAATTTTAACAAATATTAATAAGGTAACTTGTAACGAATATTTAAAACATCATGTGTTTGTCTGTATAATTTTGTGTTGAATGTAAATTAAATTAATAATTTTTGAAATGTAAATTTCAAAAAAAGTCCTTTTTTCATGAATTTTCCTTCAAATAATAGGAAAAGCTTATTTTTTGACCGTTTATAAGCTATAAATCTAGATCTTTTTTAATGTTACAGAATTTTTTATAGTTACATTCGAAAACTGTTTTATTTATAAATCATATTAAAATAAATTTTATTATAATTACATCATAAATCAATTTATTTAAAATTATGTTTTCCTTTAAAACAGAAATATGCACACACAGATAAATAAATATATATATATATATGTATATACAAGAACTACTTAATTATTTTTTTATTACGAAAACAGTGGTATAAAAACGGGCTCCACCGAGATTTGAATTTGGATCGCTGGATTGAAAGTCCAGAGTGCTAACCTTTACACCATGGAACCACATTTAATGTTTTCTTATTTATCAATAAATGCAGTAATGATATACCAATAGAATAAAGAAGATACTGTGTTTGTTTTGGACAGCAGATGTAATATTTTTAATGTGTAACGTTTTAAATTTATTTATTGCAAAAAAAGGATAAATACCTCCATTATTTTTTAAGTATCAGGTTTTTTTCATGTTGACAATGAAATTATTCTAGAAAAGAAAATTAATTTTGATGCCACTAACCTAGTATGAATTATTTTTTTAATTTTGGACGATTATTTTCTTAAAAAGTATAATATAAAGTATTTTTTACTTAATGTTACTAAAATAAATATACCACTTTGTAAATCAACCACTTTGTAAATCAACAAAACCTGAAGTTACTTATTGTTTATTTATATGATCCAGAAGTATAAGCATAAAAGAAAAGAAAACATCGTTTATCATCACAAGAGAAAATAAAACACCCTTTTTAAAATCATTTTTTTCCAGTGAAATTTTGTATTATTTTATACAACTTAATACACCAGAAAAAAAAGGTTTTGAAACAGAAGGATACATTGTGTTCCAACTTTTTTCGTTTTAAAATTTACTTTCAAGTTAGTAGAAAAAAGAGTTTTTCATTTGCAAGATGAGATATAAATATTAAAATTTTACATTCCTTTATATGAAATGTATACATATATCTACAGTTTTTCGAACGAAAGTTGAAAAAAAAAAAACATAATTTTTTTAAATTACACTATTTCGAGAAAATTGTTGTTTTGAAATTTTTAATAATAAAAGTATAATATTGCTAAAAGGATGCTTTCTTTAAATTGTTTGTTTTTCATAGAAAACAAGTGAAGTTTTTCAGTGCTAAACATAATGAAGACACTAAAAATTTGCATTCTACTGTGTCCTATTATTTTTATGTAAAGTTTTTAATCGACAAAACGTTTGATTAAAATCTCGTTGCATTCATTTTTAAAAATATTTTTTGTATGATTAAATGGAAACTTTTACTTTTCAAAAATATTTATTTTGAAACGATAATATATAACGTATAATAAAAAAACTTTAATTTGTAATCACCAATGGAACTATATTGATATTGACAAATGAAACTTATAATGAAACTTAAAACAGTTTTTTTTTTTTTTTTTTTGTAAGAAATATAAAGTAAAGTACCTTCTTTATTTATAGAAAAATTATTTGTTTTATATTATAAAAAATTATTTATAACTGTAAACTTTATTTATTTTATTATTTAAATTATAATAATTTAGAGAAAAATTATTATTTTCAATTATTATTAAAATTATTAATCTTTATTACATTAAAAGTATTTTTGATTCACACAATTTTTTTAAGCTTTCTAATTAATGAATAATGCGAAAATAAAATCCTATAAATATAATGTGAAATAAATTATACATACTAAATGGCGATTATCATGCTAAATCAATTATGAATAAAAAAAGTTTATATTTTTTTCTGATTTATCTATTCAAGGTTAAACATTTAAAAATTATTTGTTAAATTGTAATATAAGTCATAACTACTTATAAAATTTGTTTATATAAGTAGTTTTTGATTGTAAAAATTTGATTTAGAATGCGAAAATAAAAAACTGTTTACTTTAGTAATAAGAAAAATAAATATGAATGAATGAAAATACACTTTTAAAAAACTAAAAATCTATTTTTTTAAGATATTTTAATAAACAATACATAGATCAATAAATATTAACATAATTAAGATAATAAATATTAAAATCGCAATAAAAAATCTTGATTACTACGTTAATAATTAAATACTTATTTTTAATATCAAAATTTAAGTAAAACAATGAGTTTACCACATAAACAATTAATTATTTAATTTAATATCTCAAAATAAATAACCTGAGCACATGTATCGAAATAAAATCTAAATATAATAGCAAAAAATACTTCGGCATTGTTGTTTTCAATTACCATAACTTCCTGTCTGTAATCCGCAGTGCGTAAACACCAATGGCGTCATGTTCAGATCGTGGTATACACTACGTAAAAAAAGTAGAAGGACACTTGATTTTATAACAATAACCGTAAAATATTTTATTTTTACTAAAATTTTTTATTAGAAACAGTTTACAAATATTTTAAAAATACAATTTTAACATCAGAATTATGATATTCAAACATAAAATATTAATGGCAACAAAAATAGTTTCTCTTTTTTGAAACTTTGTAAAAAAAGTAGAAGGACAGCATTATAATGAATGAAAAAATACTGATTTTAATAAGGAATGTTATTCCCATTGGCCTTTATAACTTCAAATTTTCTGTTTGGAAGTGAATTGTATAGAGATTGAACTTCTGTTCGACAAAAATTGTCCCACGATACATTCAATGCTTCTCGAAGCTGAGTTAGCGAATAAAATTGCCTTACATCAGCATAAACTCAACGAACTAGCATTGCCCAGATGTTTTCCACTATATTAAGGTCAGGACTTTTGGCTGGCCATGGTAAAACATCCACATTATTTGTTAGGAACCAGTTTTTGACTCCAGTCGCGGTGTGAAGGGAAGCTCCGTCTTGCTGAAACTTCCACTCTTCACCCCCGAAGTCAGAACCATAAGGAAGAAGCTCGGAATTCAGCACTTGAATGTAGTCTCTATGTTTTTGCCTACCATTTAAGAAACTAGACTTGTCCTTCCTCCGTATCCAACAGC